ACACAGTAACAGCTTACAATAGTTTAACATCCCGGTTAAACATGTTTAACTCTAAATTTGTCTAAGGATCTTGCTTATTTCAGCCATGTCTGGAGGCTCGTATACCTGGAATGTGGTCTAAAATCAAATGTAATTACTTTCAATGGATGCACATTTTGAGCAAGGCTGGGTTTTGGACAGAGAAAGAGAAGTGGATAGTAGGGCTGGGGGGAAGGAGGACTGCCAGAAAGAAGAGAGAAGTTGAGCCAGATTTGCCTGGATTGGTGCCAACACGTGAACCCAAACATCCCAAATCAAATTGTGCTGCCAAAGCACAAACAAGAGCTAAGCGACAGTTTCTGCAGTCTTCCACACCTGAGTATGTTGTAGTCCAGGTGTTTGTAAGAGAAACAGTGGTGGCAAGCTACACTCTGTGTATTATTAAATGGGATGGGATGTAATGAAGATTGGGGGTTCCAATATGGCTGTTCCTGGAAGAGTTTTGCAGGTGCGTATCAAGGCCAAGTTGCTGAAGGTGTAACAGAAGCAGATAAGCATTAACAATATTAACCAATAGGTTTTTAACTCTCAGGGTAAGCCAGGCATTTAATTCAGCTGTGTTTTGACACTAGTTTACCATGATTCTGTGGCCTTCTTATTTTAATTCTTCTGAAATCCAAGGAGCTTCACTGGCTTCACTATGAAGCCAGAACATGCTTGGAAATGGGCCAAGACAAACTAGCTTCCAAGTGGCCCATCGTGGAGCAGGGTCATGCCAGAATATGCCTGCATCTGGATTTTGTTATTTAGAAGAGCAACAACACCTGTTTCCCATTTATGCAGCAGAATAGGCAGTTGGGCTCCAAACTTGGCTGCTATGATTCCTTCTGAATCCAGGAGGAGTCAGATGCCAGGTGCTGGCTTTTGCAGCTCTGTTGCACCAGAATTTAGCTTGGGTTATTACATGCTGTAGCAGTTCTAGTTAAAGGCAGCCCTGCTTTCTTGTTCTGTTTCCCCCCACTCCTCCTGCCTGCCAGCCTCCCCCCGCCTCCGCCCATGTTCTCAGTCCAGACTGGGAGACAGACATCTAAACCTGGTAAAATCCGGAAGTATCTAGGTAGATCCAGCTCTTTCCTAGACCTACAGGAAGGTCAAGAGGCTTTCCAAAGCAAGGGCTGAGTGTTTTTGTGGGGGTGGATGGTGGGAAGAAGCAGGGAGGAGGGACAGGGAGAAGGCACCTCAGGAGTTTTCATGATTCAAATCCAGTAAGGGTATCGCGTCAGTCATAAGAGAAAGGCATGCTTTGCAGTTGGAGCCAAGGTGTCTGGACCATCTGAGTTGGCATCTCCTTCACGTTGTTGTAGTCTGTCCAGCTGAGAGATAAATAAGCAAATAAATAAATCTTACCCCAGCAAAATAGACACATCCGTGCATTACACAAGGTGCACTGAATCACAGACATTAGCATCTCACTGTCTGTGTCCGATGGAGGGTGGGAGCTCATATCCTGCAGCAGGGCAGTTAAAATAATCGATGAGTGCGTGTTCAA